TCATACCTGATTTAGAGTCTTTAAATGATTGTCATCATCAGTATTATAAGGTTTATTTGTGTGTGTGTGTGTGTGTGTGTGTGTGTACGCTTGAGGTACCCTTGGAAGCCAACTCAAGCTAGTTATCAGTGGTTGTCCCTATCATTTGGGTGCTGTAAATCAGATTCCTGTCCTCTGTCTTCTGGAAGAACAGCAGTTACTTTAAGTAGTTGAACCAGCCTAAGATCTTCACATTTTTATTTCTATGTACCTTTTGAGACAGGGCTTGCTATATAGACCAGGCTGGAATTCCCAGAGATCTGCGTGGCTCTACCTCCAGTGTTCAGATTAAAGGTGTGTGCCACCTACCTCCCTGGCCTTTAAATTATTTTTAGTGATACTATATTTTTTGCATAATACACATTTTGTCTTTCTTGAGAACAAAACAAATGTTTAACCTATTCAGTGTTTAACTAAAAGAAGTACAAAGTTTATTGGTCCAAATAAAGATTAAGCCAGTTAAAGTCTAATTAGAAAGCTCTTCATACTGAACTCACTAGTTTAAAAATTTAATTAAACGATGATCACTGGTTGTCTGCATTATTTCTTTTCCTTCATAAAACCTTCTACAGTTAATTTTTTTTTCCAGAATGAAAAGAGCCTACCTGGGAAATCTGTATAATTTATGTAATTAACATTAAATTTACAGTATAATGTTTTATTTTTTTCAATGTAATAAAAAAGAGAAAATATAGTTAAAATGTAGTTTTGCCATTGAAGTATCTATTTCTGTAAGTTAAAATGTAAAAATATGCACTGAACAATGGGGATGGGGTGGCTCACACCTTTCATCTCAGCACTCAGGAGGCAGGGGCAGGTAGATCTCTTGTGAGTTAGAGGCCAGCCTGGTCTACAGAGTGAGCTCCAGAATAGCCAGGGCTGTTACCGTATCTCAAAAACCAGAAAAAAATGCATTAAAGCAATTTAGCAAATTAACTGTCAGTTAAACTTTGTGCTGATGTGGAAGTGATTTTATTTCATAATACACTGCCAAGAAAGCAGGAGGAATTTCATTTTAGAAACTGGCTTTCCTGTTTTAGACCTTGGTTATTTCCCAGGACTGGGAAAAAGTGCAACTTCCTGTCTTATAAAACAATCCTTTATGTCTACCTGTCTACCTTTCTGTGTGCTCAAGAACTGGGAACTAATTATTGGGGTAAAGTGAACTTATAACTAACTATAGGAAGAATGAGAAGGAATATTTTGTATTAGTGATGAACTGTAAATGAAAGAAGGGGTCAGAGTGTTGCATTTGTGGCATGAAGAGCTGAGAAGAGTTTCAGCACTGGAGATTGGTTTGTACTCCCCTCTCCTTTGTTTTCTCCATCCAGGCTTTCTCTGTGTACCCCTGGACCAGGCTGGCCTTGAATTCAGAGATCCACCTGCCTCTATCCCCAAAGTACTGGGATTGAAGCTGTGTGCCACCACTACCAACTGGAACGTACTTTCTAAGATCAACTCTAAAACTAGGTTTTGTTTATGGAATGGGTGGTAAACTCCGCTTTTAAACCGAGTGAAAAAGACATGGTAGATTGAATAAATCACTATTAACATTTTAGTAAAATGTATAATATGCTTTAATAAGGTATGCAAAAGAGAAATAACAGAAAAGCTGGAAAGTTAGGAACTAGGGCTGGGGGATGACTCACTGGGTGAGGTGCTTGCTACACAAGCTTACAGATTTCAGTTCAGATCCCCGGAGCCTACTGAAAAAAACAAGTTGGTCATAGCAGTACATGTTTGTGACTCAGCACTGGCAGGGTGGACACAGACAGGCAGATCCCAGAAGGTGGTTGACCATTCAGGTTTGCTGAAACTGCCAGCTTCAGGTTTGGTGAGAGATGCTATCCCCGAAAATACGATGAGCTGGGCATGGTATCATACATACTCCTTTAATCCTAGCTCTGGGAGGGAGTGGCTAGCCTGATCTACACTGCAAGTTCCAGTGTAGCCAGGGCTATACATTGATACCTTATCCTGAGCAAAACAAAATGTAGTGGAGAGTGACAGAGGATGACACTTGACATTGACATTTGCCCTTCACAGCACAAGCATTTCCCTACATAATCATAGGCCACACACAAGAACTAAATGCAGAAAAGATAAGATTGTTAAAGGGATACAAAGTGACTCTGGAAATGATAAGAAATGTTCATTATCTCACTTAGACATTTTGCAGTGTGTGTTAAGACTTCAAATTTTAAGATTTGCATATTATATGTGAATTGTATCTAAAAATTTGAATCATGAACTAAATATTTCTCAACCTGTAGGTTGAGACCCCTTTGGGGGTTGAACAACCCTTTCACAGGGGTCACCTAAGTCTCTTGGAAAACACATTTACATTATGATTTATAATAGCAGCAAAATTACAGTCAAGAAGTACCAATGAGCTGGGCAGTGGTGGTGCACGCCTTTAGTCCCAGCACTTGGGAGACAGAGGCAGGTGGATCTCTGTGAGTTGGAGGCCAGCCTGGTCTACAAAGTGAGTTCAAAACAGCTAGGGCTATTACACAGAGAAAACCTATCTCAAAAAAGAGAGAAAAATAATTTTGTGGTTGCGGTCACATGTCAGCATGGGGCACTGTATTAGGAAGGTTGAGAATCACTGGGGTAAATGAGGGGTCGTTGTGTGACACAGGGATATTTATAGAGATAGAAGAATCAAAATGACAATTGTTAGCTGTCATGGTGGTGGGTGCCTATAATTCCATCATGCCCTTAGAGGCCAGCACTCAGGAGTCCTTGAATTCAAGGTCAGCCTGGGCTATTAGTGAAACCTTGTCTAAGAGAACAAATAAGGAAAAGTTAAGAATTGTGCCGTCGATAAAGGGGGAGGGCATTGTATTTGATATTGAAAGAAGGGGAAGTGAAAGAAAAAATGACTTTAATAAACTGGAGTAGTCTCTGTTTTCTGGGACAAGGTCCTGGCCCATTGCTTAGTATGTAATCTAAGTTGGCCCCCAACTCGCTCTTGTACCTTCCATCTGTTTGATTACAGGTGCGCAGCACCACACGTGTGTCAGGTTAATTCTCAGCAGTTGGGAAAGGTAATCTAGGCAGTGAAAACTGACAGATGAGGAAAAGTGAGCTGGGGATGTAGCGCAGTAGTAGAGCACTTCCTTACCATGTGCAAGGATCAATCCTGACACCCCACCCCACCCACCCCCAGCTTGTGCTTGCTTGTGTATGTGTGTGCATGAAAAAAAAATTGGAGAAATGTAAAGTTATTCCCAAAACTGTATGATTGATGTACTAGTTTGCTCTGGGTATTGCAACCAATTACTACAAGTGGGGTAAATCAACATCAATTTATTCTCATAATTTTGTAAGTTAGAAATCAGTATTAGGGGATGAGAAATGGATGGCTCAACAGTTAAGAGGAGTACTGGCTGCTCTTCCAGAGGTCCAGCGTTCAATTCGCAGCAACCACATGGTGGCCTACAACCATCTTAATAGGCCCTCTTCTGGCCCTGCAGTATACATGCAGAGCACTCATATATAAAACATATTTGTATTTCATATGCTTTGGTGTTTTGCCAGCATGTCTGTGTGAGGGTGTCGGGTCTCCTAGAACTGGAGTTACAGTTGTGAGCTGTGAGCTGCCACGTGGGTGCTGGGAATTGAACTCAGGTCCTCTAGAAGAGCAGCCAGTGCTCTTAACCACTGAGCCATTTCTCCAGCCCCATACATAAACTGTAAACAAATAAATAAATGAGCATTAACCCAGGTATCATCCCTCCAGAGTCCTGTCAGGTCTTTTCGTTTCTCTTTCAGCCTGGAAGCAGCAGTCAGCAGTCCTACTGGTGTCTGCAGTCTCCATCTTTGCAGACTGACTGGTGTCTGCAGTCTCTATCTTATAGACTGACTGGTGTCTGCAGTCTCCCATCTTTGCAGACTTACTGGTGTCTGCAGTCTCCATCTTTGCAGACTTACTGGTGTCTGCAGTCTCCATCTTTGCAGACTGACTGGTGTCTGCAGTCTCCCATCTTTGCAGACTGACTGGTGTCTGCAGTCTCCATCTTTGCAGACTTACTGGTGTCTGCAGTCTCCCATCTTTGCGGTTATGTTGCCTTCTCTCAGTTGAACTAGTTGGTCCTGTTTGGAGACAGTATCTCAAAACTGTATAACCCTGGCTGGTTTGAAACTTATCTGTAGATCAGGCTGCCTCCAACTTACAGAGCACAGAACTCCACCCACTTCTGCCTCCAGAGGGCTGGGCCCATCGTGCCTGGTTATTTGTCCTTAAAGATTAAAGGTATACCTAGATGAACCAGAATAATCTCATCTCAGAACTCTTTAATTGAATTAAATCTGCACAGGCTTCTTGGCCACATAAGGCCCATTCACAGATTGCAGATTTGGATAGAGATACTTTAGCCAGCCTGCCACAGTAATTATTTTAAAAGTGGCTTGGACATGAATTAAAAAACAAACCAAAAAGTAAAAAGGTCCCTTAACATTTTTGATGGTGGAGATCAAGATAAGGTCTAGCTATGTAGTCCAAACTTGTCTTGTGTCTATCATTCTGCCTCAGCCTCCTGAGTGCTGGGACCTCGGGAGAGTTCATGCCCTGATCTCTCTGTTTTGGTTTTGTGTTGTCTTATTGTTGGAAGAAGAATGAAGTTACACAGAAGTACACAGAACCAGGTTTGGTGATACATACCTTTAGTTCCAGTTCTCAGAAGGTGGAGATAGGAGGATCTCAAGTTTGAGGCCAACCTATTCTCTTTTTAAAAAGAGAAAGGGGGACTGGAAAGATGGCTCATCGGTTAGGACCACTTCCTGCTCTAGTACAGGACCTTAGTTCAGTTCCAAGGGGAATCCCACATCCTCTTCTGACCCTGGTGGGCTCCTTCATGCAAATGATGCACATAAATACTCGCAGGAACATGCACATGTACATTTAAAATAGAAATTCTTTATGCTATGCTGTCTCTCTCTTTTTTTTTTTTTTTTAGCTTAAAGCAATAAATGTAGATCTCCAAAGTGATGCTGCTCTGCAAGTGGACATTTCGGATGCTCTTAGTGAAAGGGATAAAGTCAAATTCACTGTTCACACAAAGGTAAAGTGGGACTTTGTAGTTTGTGTTCCTTTAGAAATGCTGTTACTTGTGAAATATATTGATTGGAACTTTTTAGGGAAGTTACTCTTTGTTTGCTTTATTTATTTATTTCTTTATTACAGATGTGTAGTTTTGCCTGTCTGGGAATTGGCTATGTAGATCAGGCTGAAGAGGTTATTTATGATTTTAGGAATTATTATAACCTAAATATAAATTTAATATTTAGGTAGGGGAGTGTGTGTGTGTGTGTCTGTCTGTCTGTCTATGTAGCTCTGGCTGGCCTGGAACTCACTTAGATCTGCCTTGCCTCTGCTTCTTGACATCTGGGTGAATGCCGCCACACCCAGCTAGTAGTGTAACTTTTAAGTGATGATAATGGTACAATAAGTAGGTGCCTATTGACTTTTTTTTTCAAAGATCCAAGGGTAATTTTACTTTTACTCAAAAAAATTTCTGTCTTTACAGAGTTCATTGCCAAATTTTAAACAAAATGAATTTTCAGTCGTTCGACAACATGAGGAATTTATCTGGCTTCATGATTCCTTCGTTGAAAATGAAGACTATGCAGGTTACATTGTAAGTATTAGGTTTCATTTTCTTGTTAAGATTTTTTTTTAAATGTGTGTGCATCTAGGTAGAGGGGTGTGTGTGTGTGTGTGTGTGTGTGTGTGTGTGTGTGTGTGTGTGCGTGCGTGCGTGCACGCTCATATGGGTCAGAAGACTCCATGGAGTTGGAGTAACAGGAACTTTATGAGCTGCCTGACATGTGGAGGCCAGAGGCATCAGATGTTCCTGGAGCTGGGATTATAGGTGGTTGTAAGCCACCCACAGTATTAGGAACTGATCTTGGCTCCTCTGCAAGAACTCGTGTGTCTTTACTGCTAACCATCTCTCTAGCCTGAGTTTTCATTTCCTAAGAAAATTTTAGAAACACATGGTTTTGTTTAGCATTTTAGTAACTGATGTGATTTGTAAAATAATGCCAGTCGTGAGGCATTGGCCTACTACCTTTTATCCTGAGTTGTCTTGTCTTTGAAAACATTATACTTTTTTTGTTTAACTTTGAATTCTTTTTTGTTTATTCAAAGTAGTTTATTCAACACTTCTTGTGTTGTCTAGCCCCTTGCTGTTCTGGAACTCACTGTGTAGTCCAGAGTGATCTTGAACTTGCAACAGCCTTGATTCTGCCTCTTAAGTGATAGGGTTATAGGCATGAGCCCTCTTAAACATGGATCATTAGTATTGGGGTAGGTGATTAATTTAGGAATGTTACATACTGTGCTGGTTTTTAAACGCTTGAATGGACAGAGAAGCCTATCGATTAGAAGGCCCCTAAGATGCTGTAATCAAGAGTAAATGGTCATTCTTCCACAGCTGTTGAGCACATTTGGAGTCCTGAAGTTTATGATTTCTGTGAGGTCATCATGGCCTGACTGTGTTTCCATCCAGAGACCAGCACCCCCTTGAGTCATGTGTTTCCTTTCTGTAGCTTAGATTTTGGTGAATGACTAATAATATAGTCTTCTTTTTGCATTCTAATTCCATCTTTTCCCCCACCTTCTTGTGTGATGATACCTTTTTTCTACTTTGTCTATCAGTAAACTAAGTAGTCCTCATCAATTAAGACTGTCTGATTGATCAATCTGTATATACCCTGTGCTGGACATAGCACCTGCTGTATCAGAGCTGCTCAGTATGTCTGCAACTGTACTTGCTGCTCTCTGACTCTGTCCCTTTTCTCAGAGCAGTTTTTTATTTTAAAATGTTTTTTATTTAGGGGGACTGGTGAAATAGTTCAGCAGTTAGGAGCACTTGCTGCTCTTGCAGAAAGAAGACCTAAGTTCAGTTCCCAGCATCCACATGGCATCTCACAATCATGTGGAACTGGATTTGATAAAAAAAAACATCCCATGTTAGGATTGAGTGTTCCAAGGCCTCTCACTCTTTACACTGTCCAGTTGTGGGTCTCTGTATTTGTTGCCATCAGCTTCTCTGATGGCTGAACAAGAAAGACAATGATCTGTTATGCGTACAAGGCCAGCCTGGTCTACAGAATGAGTTCCAGGACAGTCAGGGTGACAAAGAGAAACCCTGTCTGGGAAAAAACAAACAAAAACCACTATCTGCTTCTCAGGGCAGCATAGCCATCACCTTCTGAGACAAAAATCTCATGGGACCAAAGCTGGCCTTGGGTTTGCTATATAGAGAATACCAGCTTTGAAATCTTGTTCCTCCTCCTTCTACCCTTCGATGTGCTATCCTCATGCCTCAGCCTTCCAAGATGGGTTATATGCTTGAGAACTACCTTTTAATTATATTTTTGGCGAGTGCCACAATGGGCTATTACCTAGTTTTTAATATTTATCTGTGTGTGTGTTTGAGCTAAGATGTTATGTAACCCAGGCTGGATTGGAACTCCATATATAGCTGGAATTGGCCTTAGACTGAGTCTCCTTCCCTTTGTAGCTCTGGCTGTCCTGGAACTCAATATGTAATCCAGACTGGCCTTGAACTCACAGCGATTCACCTGCCTTTGCCTCAGAATGCTGGGATTAAAGGTGTGTAGCACTACCTGCCTGACTGTTTTGAAATAAAATCTTTCTGCTTCTGATATATTTTGCTAGTCTTGGACCCCTTTTAATACCCTGTGCTGTATGATAATAATCATTACTTTAAAAAAAAAAAAAAAATTCAGCCAGGCAGTGGTGACTCATGCCTTTAATCCCAGCACTTGGGAGACAGAGGAAGACGAATGTGAGTTCCAGGCCAGCCTGGTCTACAGAGCAAATCCTGTGTCGGAAAAGGAAAAAAAAAAAAAAAAAAAAAAATCCCAGCCAGGTGTGGTGGCACACTCCTTTACCTAGCATTTGGGAGACAGAGGCAGGTGGATCTCTTGAGCTCCAGGACAGCCTGGACAGCTTGGTCTACACAGTGTGATATCCCTAGCTGTCCTAAAATTCTGTAGACCAGGTTAGCCTCCAACTCAGAGATCCACCCGCCTCTGCCTTCCAGGTGCTGGAATTAAAGGTATACACACAGCTTTATTTTGTTCTTTTTTGAGACAAGGTCTCACTGTGTAGTTCTAGCTGACCTATTACTCCCTATGTAGATCAAGGTGGCCTTGAAAGCCCAGAGTTCTGCCTGCCTTAGCTTTCTTGAGTTCTGGGATTAAAGTTGTTCACCACTATACCTGGCTAGAATTGTCTTAAGAATTTTTAATACTTATTTTTATGTGTGTGTGTACATGTTTGTGAATGGAGCATATACATGGGATTGCAGACACGAACCACTCACTGTGTCTGGTGTGTACGTAGGACAGAAATTGAGGTCATCAGGCTATGTGCTCTTTACCCCTGGGGCATCTCTGTACTCTTTAAGAGCTACCCTAATGCCTAAATAAATAAATAAATAAATAAATAAATAAATAAATAAAAGTATTATGGGAGCTGGGCACTTGGAGGAGTGAAGCAAGAAGTTTTGCTGCAAGTTATAGGCCAGCCTGTGCTACAAGCTAATAAAATGTTATAGTATATTTCTTCTTTGGTATAAAGGAGCCCATAGATCTTGGTTTCTAAAACTAGTGGAGTTTTCTGATCTCAATTTTGGTATTTCTGGTGCTCAATTTATTTTTTTAGATTTATTTATTTATTCAGATCTCATTACATATGTTTTGAGCCACCATGTGTTGGCTGGGAATTGAACCCAGGTCCTCTGGAAGAGCAGCCAGTGCTCTTACCTGCTGAGCCATCTCTCCAGCCCTGCTCAATTCATTTGTTATACCTTGGTATTATCAACTCAAAGTTTTATTTTGTTTGAGGCAGGGTTTCACTTTGTAATTAAGGCTGTCCTAAAAAGAATTAGGTGGGCCAGGTTGGTCTCCAATTTGCAGCTGTTGTACTTCTGCCTCCTGAGTACAGGGGCTGCCATTTTCAGATAGTGTGGCACAGTGCTGAGAGACGAGAAATAGGGCTGACAAGATGGCTTACCAGGTAAGAACATGTCTACCACTAAGCCCTGAAACCTGAGTGTGATCCCTGGCTCCCACACAGTGGAACGGGGGAACCAGGTCCCACAGTTGGTTCTCTGACCGCTGTGCATGCTTGGGCAAGTGTGTGTGTGTGTGTGTGTGTGCATACCTAAAATAAATGTTAAAAAAAGGAAGAAATAGTTCTTAAAGTTGGTGTTTTGATTTTACCATAGATCCCACCAGCACCACCAAGACCTGATTTTGATGCTTCACGGGAAAAACTGCAGAAGCTTGGAGAAGGGGAAGGGTCAATGACAAAGGAAGAATTCACAAAGATGAAACAGGAGCTAGAAGCGTATGTGATGGACTTTGTTAGTCATGTTAACTGTGCTTGTTTAAATGCCTTTATTTTTATTTTATTTATTTTTTTTTTTTTGAGCTCTCTGATACCCATTCTTTTAATCATTTCACTGTAGTGACTCTGAAAAATCCAGGTTAAGCACTAATAGCCTGTGTTAATAATGATCATGATCAAAGCCTCTTCATGAAAATGATACGGTTGTCTCCACTGGAGGATCTCAAACCTTATTAAAACGTTAGGAAGGAAATATGTCTTTATTTTTAGATAACTGATTGATTGATGGATGTTTTTCGTGACAGGGTTTCTCTAACTCTCCTAGAAGTCACTCTGTAGACCAGGCTGACCTTGAACTGGAAGAAATCCACCTGCCTCTGCCCCCTCAGTGCTGGGTATAAAGCTGAGAACCACCACTGCCTGACTGGGAGCATGACTTTTTAAAACAGTATAAAATGTCTAAAAATTGTTTTTATACGACCTCAGTTGTTGCTAGCCTAGTCTCTGTTTTTTCAGCATGTACCTACTCTACAACTTCCATTTCTTGTAGGGGAAGTGTGCTGAGCAACTCTTTACATGTTTTCTCTAAAAATTAAAATGGGGCAGGCAGTGGTAGTGCACACCTCTAATCCCAGCACTCGGGAGGCAAAGAGTTTGAGGCCAGCCTGGTCTACTGAGCGAGTTCCAAGACAGGCTCCAAAACCACAGAGATACCCTGTCTCAAGAAACTAAAATAAATAAATAAATAATAAAAATTAGAATGAGTAACAGGCATGGTGGTGCATGCCTTTGATCCCAGCACTTGGGACGCAAAAGCTGATGGATCTCTCTGAGTTTGAGAACAGCTTGGTCCACACAATGATTTCCAGGACAGCCAGGGATATATAGAGAAACTCTTGCCTCCAAAAAAACAAAAACAAAAAACAGTGCGACACACACACACACACAAAATGAGGAATATCATTTTTTCCCCAAAAATTTACTTATTTATTATGTATACAGTATTCTATCTGCATGTCTGTCTGCAGGTCAGAAGAGAGTACCAGATCTCATTACAGATGGTTGTGAACCAACATGTGGTTGCTGGGAATTGAACTCAGGACCTCTGGAAGAGCAGCCAGTGCTCTTAACCACTGAGCCATTTCTCCAGCCCCGAAGGATATCTTTGTGTATATATGTTTCTCTTACTGGTTGAGGAATAAAACACTGTTTGGTCAATAGAGGCAGGAAGATAAGCGGGACTAGGAGATGAGAATTCCTGGGAAAGAGGTAAAGAGAGGCTAGTAAAGAGAAGCCATGTAGCAGAGGAAGGAATAACAGGTCCAGACCCTTCTGCATAAGATAAGACCATGTGGAAATACTTAGATTAATATAGATGGCTAATAATTAAGCCAATGAGAAGCCCTAGCAATTGGCCAACAGTTTAATAATTAATATAGCATTTGTGTTTTTCTTTGGGACTGAAGTGGCAGTGGAACCTGGCAGGATAAAAAAACTCCAGCAAAACACACACACACACACACACCACGTGCGCGCGCGCACAAATCCCATCATTTGGCAGGAGTTCAAGGCTAGCCTCATTGCCTCATCTATAGAGTGAGTTCAAAGCCACATAAAACACTGTCTCAGCCAGGGATTGGTGGCTCACGCCTTTAATCCCAGCACTCGGAGGCAGAGGCAGGTGGATCTCTGAGCTCTATCTAGGCCAGCCTGGTCTATAGAGGATAACCTCCAAAGCCACAGAGAAAACCTGTCTTGAAAACAAAACAAAACAAAAAAATACTGTCTCAAAACAACAAAAAGTATAAAGTGCATTTATATTTAATTTCCTTTTCTCTGCCTGCTCTGGCCTAAAGAAAAAGAATAGGGACAATCTATTGTGAATAGTTAAAATAATTTTTTATCTCATGAAATTACTTTTAGGGGGTCCAGAGGTTGAGTGTTTGCTGCTCTTGCAGACGACTGAAGCACATCAGGTGGCCTACAGCAGTAACTTCAGCTTTGTGGGATCTGATGTCCTCCTCTAACCCCCTTGGTAGTCAGACATGTGCACAAACACATGTAGACAAGATTATTATTTTTACATACATTCAGAACATGTTAAGTCCTTGGAAATTTGATAATTTTTCACTTTAGCATATTTGAGAAAATAGTTTCACCATCCCCCCACCCCTTTAATTAAACTTTTGAACTTTCTACTTTTCAGAGGTATGAAAACTTAATTTTTTTTTTTATGTTTTAAGGCTTATTTATGTGTACATTTTCAATATATTAGTTATAATTTTATTTATTTCACAGTAGCAAGCAAAGGGAAAGTAGCCAGGTAATGTTGGCACACACCTTTATTCCCAGTACTTGGGAGGGAGAGGCAGGTAGACCTCCGAGTTTGAGGCCAGCCTGGTCTACAAGAGTGAGTTTCAGGACTGACAAGAATTTACAGAGAAACCCTATCTTGGAACAAACAAACAAACAAAAACCAAAAAAAGGGAAAGTATAGATACAGTGTCAACACTGCTGGGGATGGGATGGCTCAACAGGCAGAACACTTGAGTCAGCAGAGCCAGCATAAGAGGCAGTGAGAGAACTGACCCCACACAGTCGCCCTCTGACCCCACATAGGCAAGTATGTGCGTGCGTGTGCGCGCACACACACACTCGTACACACACACACACACGCACACACGCACATACACGTGTACACAGTTTAAAAAGTAAAAGAAGTGACAGCCGGCCGTATGAGTAAAAGTACCCAAGGGCATTGTCAGTATTCTGAGCACTGCCCAAGGGAGTACATTTTCTTGTATTGTCACCTCTGTTTCTCTGGCCATTTCTTCCTTTGTGCATTTTCTTGACTCTTCTTTTGAGTTTGTTTTCAGGCACCTATTCACAGTGCTACTAAACTCCTTTTCAGAATTCTAAGTTACTGTGAAAAGATAAATGAACAAACTAGGTCTCAATGTGTGAAGTGACATGTTAAAATTCTGTCCAGTCTGGGTGCAGCAGTAATCTGAGACTGAGAGCTGGGAATCAGCAAAGCACACCACTACTGAAGCTCCTGGTTTTCAGGGGTCCTGATCGTGGTTCTTTTGTGGTCTGGTTAGGGGTTGGATAGCAGAGCCTTGGGTTTGTCCCACGGCCACCTTGCTTTTTTGTCTTCACTGAATGGCTTCCCTCACAGAGATCAAACTGCTCCCAACACTGAGCCTGCTGGTGTGCTGGTATGTAAAACATATGCTTCTTGCACAAAGTTGAAGCAAGAAATCAGGCCTTTTCCTTGAGTGTCCCTTCCCCCCAACTGTTGTGTGCTGCTACATGGTTGCTTGGAGGCATTGATAATATATCCTAAGCACATTTCTTCAAAAAAATGTCATAAATAGTTGCTCTGTGGCTGGTCTTTCTCACATATTTTAGGTTACTATATGAAAATAATTTAGGCATTTTTTTGTGTTTAGGTGTGTAAGGCTGTAATTATATAAAAATTAAGTTATTGTGGTTGTATCAGATAGTTTCTCTAGAGCTAAAAAGCATGTACTCCAGTAGTGACCTACATCAACTTGCATAATAGAAAAGTTTGTAAGACTTGCAGGGCATTGGTGACACACACCTTTAGTCCCAGCACTCAGGAGGCAGAGGCAGGTGGGTCTCTGTGAGTTCAAGACGATCCTGGTCTACAAGGGCCTACAAGAGCTAGTTTGAGGACATGTTCAAGAGCCACAGAGAAACTCTGTCTCAAAAAAAAAAAAAAAAAAAAAAAAAAAAAGACTAAAATAGCATGAGGCTTTTCAGAAATAAATTTTATATTTTTACTAAACAGTTCAACTAAAAGCTTTGTTATGAATTATGTCTTTGCCTTCCTGGTTTTACATTTATAATTCTCCAGAGAATAATTGCTGGAATGACTTCTAGTTGATGTCATTGTTCATTCATAATTCTTTGTTGTTTCTAGTGAGTATCTGGCAATTTTTAAGAAGACAGTGGCAATGCATGAGGTGTTCCTGTGTCGTGTGGCAGCACATCCAATTTTGAGAAAAGATTTAAATTTCCATGTCTTCTTGGAGTATAATCAAGATGTAAGTGTCACATAAATGAGAGCAGTGCTGGGAGTTGTCATTGCTGCGTATTATTTTTTGTGGAGTTTGGAAGGGTGGAGGAGGTATCACTGTCTAGCATGAGCAAGGCCCTGGGTTTGATAGCCTGATCATAGAAAGGGCAGAGCCATCTCACTGACCTAAATACTTTGATTTTTCAAGGTAGTTTATAGTGCCACATTTTTAGTAATAGTGAAGCCGAGAACTTGAGTAGATCAGTTAAATCTGGTTATAAATTGAACTTCCATAATCCAAAAACCTGAAAACATCAAGTTTGTTTTATATTCTGAGACAGTGGCCCTGGTACCTGCGCAGCCCTGGATGATTGAGGACTTTTGATCCTCTTGCTTCCGCCTCAAGAGTGCTGTGATAATAGCATGTGTGTCTGCCTAGTTTTTATGTGGCACTGGGAGTAGAAATTAGAGATTTATTTAGCCTCTATGAACTGTGCTACATCCCAGGCCCAAACTTTTTTTTCCTTCCAGTTTTTAGTCTGTATTTCAGGCAAGCCTCAAACTCTCAATACTCCCTCTTACTTACTTAGGACTTAACATTACAGGCTTGTACCATCAGGGCCAGACTGAGCGCTAAACTGTTTATTCGTTTTAAACTTTCTCATGCTCGTTAAATTCCAGAGATGGTGAGATGGCTCTGAGAGGAAAGACACCTGACATGAGTTCTGTCCCTAAGTTCATATAACCTTTTCTCTTAACACCCAACCGTCTGATTGTCTGATAGTCTGGTATTTCAAATTTGAGTTTTATCAATAAGTGTAAATTCATATGCTTATTTTTGTAGTGTAAGAAGTTTCTTTTATAAATTCAGGGGATGGATAAGCTAATTATGATTTTCAATTTTGGTGACTTAAAGTATATTATTTGTTTTTAAGTAAGTATGTAAATATAAAAAATAAGGCCTTGCATGACTTTAATCCCAGCACTCGGGAGACAGAGGTAGGTGGATGGATCTCTTGATGTCAAGGCCAGCCTGATCTACTACTGTCCTGAGCTAGTTCCAGGACAGCCAAGACTACATTAAGAAACCCTATCTCCAAAAACAAAAACACTATATGTATATATAAATATATGAATAAATAATTTTAAGCTGGAAAGATGGCTCATCAGTTAAAGAGCACTGGCTGCTTTTCCAGAGGACCTGGATTCAATTCCCAGCACCCACATGGCAACTCACTACAGTTTGTAGCTCCATTCCAGGGGACCCAACACCCTCACAGACATACAAGTGAAGCACCAATGGACATGAAATAAAATTAAATATTTTGTAAAGAAGTAAATAATTATAAAAGGGCTAGAGAATGCAATTCAGTTGTAGGTGCTAACCTGCCATGTGATGTCCTGAGTTCATGAGCTCCCAGGCTTTTGGGGGGGGGGTGGAGGAGGGACAGGGTCTCCCTATATATGGCTGGTCTTGAACTCTATACATAGGAAATTGACCAGGTTGTCTACTGAGTGCTGGGATTAAAGGGGTGCACCATCATATGTGAATTCAGCATGGGTTTTTGTTTTGTTTTTGAAGATATGATTTCTCTCTGTAGTCCTGGCCTTTTTGGAACCAGGCTGGCCTTGAACTCACAGAGATCTGCTTGCCTCTGCCTCTGCTGAGATTAAAGGTGTATACCACCACACCCAGCTAGCACTTTTTAAAGAATTTCTAGTTATATTTACTGTATGTGGGTAGCTTGTGGAGATCCTTTCCTCCCACCATGTGGATTTCAGGAATTGAAGGCAGGTTGCTAGGCTCAGTGTTCCTTTACCTGCTCAGCCATCTTCCTAGTTTGATAAAGTGGATTATGCCCTTTATTTAATAGAGTCTTCATGTCTTTTTATTTTCACTAATTTGAAACAACTGTTTGAGTTGTTAGAGAAAGGAAGGTGTATACTTTTAAGAGTTTTTAATAGAGCCGGTATGTGATGCACAGGGCTGAGAGTTCAGGGCTAGCCTGGGCTATTTAGAGAGCCCCTGTCTAAAAAAAAAAAGTCTTTAATAGAGATAAGACTTATATTTTATTTTGGCTTTTTGAAAGGGTCTGTAACCCTCAAATTTGCAGAATCCTCCTGCCTTATGTTCCCAGCGTTAGGATCACAGGCATGTATCACCACTCCTAGATGGAGATCAGGTCATAAATGGCACCTGCTACTGACCATTCAGTGTGCCTCCCATGGTGGTTATTTGGAGATTGAGTAAAGGCAGTGGTTTGTGCAGCACACGGTTACCCTCAGTAGGCCTGGCTGTACTGAAGCTTGCTCTATAGACCAGACAGGCTTTCACTCAAAGATCCTCCTACTTCTGTTTTTATGTTTTTGATTGTGAGCCTGCTAAGCCATCTCTCTAGGCCATTTTTTAAAAAAATATATTTATTTTGAGGGGTTTTGTTTGTTTTTGAGACAGGTTTTCTCTGTGTAGCCCTGACTGTCTTGGAACTCATTCTGTAGGCCAGGCTGGCCTTGAACTCAGAGAACCACTTGCCTGTCACCCAAGTGCTGGAATTAAAGGCTGTGACACTACTTAGCGGCTGTTTGGGGTTTTTTGATTGTTTTTGACATTATGATTTAATTACATTTCTCCCTTTCCTTTCCCCCCTCCAAAGCTCCCACATACCCCACCCCAGTCCTCTTCAAACTCATGGACTCTTTTATCACTTATTATTGCATGTATATATTTGTACATACATATATATTCATAAATATAACCTGTTAAGTCCATATATATCCCTTCCCCAACTCAACTGTCCGTTCCCTCGTGTTCTCATTCCATCCCATCTCCTTTACCACTTCCTTCTACCCCCAGTTTACTCAGGAAATCTTAACTAATTCCCCTTTCCAAGGTGATCCATGTGTCCCTCTTAGACTCGTCCTTGTTACCTAGCTTCTCTGGAGCTGTGGATTGTGGTGTGGTTATCCTTTGCTTTACATCTAATACCCACTTTTGAGTGAGTACATACTGTGTTTGTCTTTCTGAGTCTAGGTTACCTCACTTGTGATGTTTTCTAGTTCCATCCATTTGCCTATAATTTCATGGTGTCATGTTTTTTACAGCTGAGTAGTACTCCATTATGTAAATGTACCACATTTTCTTTATCCATTATTTGGTTGAGGGGCACCTGGGTTGTTTACAGGTTCTGGTTATTACGAATAAGGATACTATGAACATTGTTGAGCAAGTATCCTTGTGGTATGATTGAACATCACTTGGGTATATGTCCAAGAGTGGTGTGTCACTGGGTCTTGAGGTAGATTGATTTGTAATTTTCTGAGAAACTACCATACAGATTTCCAAGTGGCTGTATAAGTTTGCACTCCCACCAGCAGTGGAGGAGTGTTCCCCTTTCTCTACATCCTCTCCAACATAAGACAACCTCAGTATGGTCTTAGCTATTCTGACAGGTGTAAGATCTCAGAGTTGTTTTGATTTGCATTTCCCTGATGATTAAGGGTGTTGATCAGTTCCTTAAATGTCTTTCAACCATTTGAGATTCTTTTGATGAGAATTCTCTGTTTAGCTTTGTACTCCATCTTTTAAATGGATTATTTTGTATTTTGATGTCTAGTTTCTTGAGTTCTTTATATATTTGGAGATCAGCCCTCTGTCAGATGTGGGGTTGTTGATCTTTTCCCATTCTATAGGGAGCCATTTTGTCTTGTCGACCGTGTGTGCTTTACTGAAGCTTCTCAGTTTCAGGAGGTTCCATTTATTAATTATTGCTCTCAGTGTCTGTGCTACTGGTGTTATATTTAGGGAGTGGTCTCCTGTGTGTTCAAGGCTACTTTCCACTTGTCTATCCGATTCAGTGTAACTAGATTTATGTTGATGACTTTGCTCTACTTGGAGCTGAGTTTTATGCATGGTAATAGATATGGATCTATTTGTAATCTTCTACATGTTGACATAGTTATGCCATGGTTCACACACTGTATCTCTGTCTGTCTGTCTGTCTGTCTGTCTGTCTATCTATCTATCTATCTATCTATCTATAATCTATCTATCTCTATCGTTTTTGGAGGCAGGGTTTCACTGTTAGCTCTGGCTGTCCTGGAACTCACTTTGTAGACCAAGCTGGCCTCGAACTCACAGAGATCCACCTGCCTGCCTCTGCCTCTCAGTGTTGGGGTTAACGGTGAGCACCACCACCACCTGGCATGGCTGGCACTCTTATAGATATACACAAAAGATTGCTACTTTTGCCAGGCATGGTAATGCATGCCTTTAATGACAACACTTGAGCCAGAGGCAAGTAGATCTCTGGATCTCTTAAATTTAAGGCCAGCCTGGTATACAGAGTGAGTTCCTGAAAGTGTCTAAAAGAGGTATTACTGTCTGTAGCTTCCAAAAAGGCTAACTTAAATTGCCCTTTTCTTTCTGTTCTTTTTTTTTTTTTTTTTTTTTTTTTTTTTTTTTTCTTTCAGTTGAGTGTTCGAGGGAAAAATAAAAAGGAAAAGCTGGAGGATTTCTTTAAGAACATGGTTAAGTCAGCGGACGGAGTCATTGTTTCAGGAGTGAAGGTAAAGATATACTTGAAGAGCACTGTCAGTTAAGGATGTAGACTTTTCATTCTGTAGGTTGGCACCTGCCTCTTCCTCTCAAATTGTAGGATTAAAGATGTATTCAGGTTCAGAATAGACAGCAGCCCCAGGGTTGGATTTAGTCAGATCTCAGCTGAGATTTTGGTAGCGTTTTTTGGATAAATGTATGATCTTGATTTGGTTCACAGGATTATGGGAAGAATGGAATGAAATATGTGTGAAAATATTTTAGTAGTTAGTTATAAACAGTAACCTTTTCCTTAATGATGTCTTTCAAATGGCATGGGGATTTACTTATCTGGTACCTTTTTTCAGTAAACATTATGACATCAGCAGATACTCAGAAAGGTGAGCAGTGCTGCTTGCTCTCATATCTGCACGAAAGCTTAAGCAATCTGCCCTCCAGTGACATCTCAGTCTTCTCTGATGTGGGATGTGGCTGCACACTGATAGTAAATGTAGACCACTGTTAGTTGTGATTTTCATAATCAATAGACATTTTTAACGTTCATAATATATTAATTTGTAGCTTTTGTTTACAGTCTTCATTATAACCCTGCAAGTTATATATTTATCCCCATGTTTATGGTTATAAAAATGGACAGATTTGAAGTGATGGTTAAACGACACTTTTTAGTGCAGACTCCTGCTGTTCAGATTCTAATGCTATAAATCCTAAATTATATCAGTAACACTTTCTAAGGACAGTGACTTTTTTTTTTAATTTAAAACGTATATCTAGGGGCTGGAAAGATGGCTCTGGTTAAGAGCACTGGCTGCTCTTCCAGAGGACCCAGGTTTGATCCCCAGTATCCCTGTGGTCTGCCACTCAGTTTTAGGGGACCTAACACCCCTCTTCTGTCTTATGGGCCCTAGGTACACAGGTAGTATGCAGACATATATAAGCATATATATATATATATATATATATATATATATATATATATATGCAGAACACCAATACAAATGAAAGGGAAATGTTTAAAATTTTAAAAAACAAAATTGAAAATGGTAGTTAATTGTATCATTGCTCCCAAATGGCTCATTCAGCTGAGTTCATCTAAGTAGTTAGCTAGGATAGGTAGCCGCTGAAATACATAATAGAGCAGGAAAAATAGGTTTTTCATTTCTAGCTACTAGAATGTTTCCTGCTTTTCCTCAAGAGCATTTGCTAACCATGTGTTTGTGGCAGCAGAACACAGGTCAGTGCCTGTTTCAAGATATACACACAGGACACTCTAGCCTTTGGCTATAAACCATTGCTTTTCTGGTAAAGCCTGACTGTGTGATAAGGGCAGTGTAAAGTCTGAGTGCTAGAAGACAGTTGTCCTCCTTTGCTGATGATGTTTCTATAATGATGGCAAGGTTTCACATCACATTAGAGCACATGTGTAAACAGCTTTTTTTCTTATCCCACAGGATGTAGATGACTTCTTTGAACATGAACGAACATTCCTTTTAGAATATCATAACAGAGTTAAGGATGCGTCTGCTAAATCTGACAGGATGACAAGATCTCACAAAAGTAAGACTTCCGTGTGAAAACTTTTTTTTTAAAGACTTGTTTGTTTTGCTGGACACAGTTATAACACAGCTTTAATTCCAGCACTCTGAAGGCAAGGGCAGACAGATCCTCTGAGTTTGAGGCCAGCCTGATCTACATAGTGAGTTTCAGGACAGCTCTGTAAAGAGACCCTGTCTCCATAAAACAAGTGAACAAAAGTGTCTTTGTGTGTCTGCCTCAGCGTATGTGTATGTACTGTGGAGGTCAGAAAGAGGGCAGCAGCTCCTTTGGAACTGGAGTCACAGGTGGTTGTGAGACACCTGATAAAGGTGTTGAACCCAAAGCCAGGTCCTCTACAAGTACTTCTGCACTGGGTTAAGTTACTCAGTTAACCTCTGCCCCCCAAAAAACTTACATTTTAGTTAAAAATAATTGTAAAGTTGGCATGTTACTTACAGTTTGGCTTTTTTGTTTTTTGTTTTATATGAAAGTCTGAATTTAGAATAGTGGTTCTTAAATTGTGGTCTGTGACACTCAGGCCACCTCAGGACACTGCTTTGGAACAGTGTGTATTCCAAGATGTTTTTGAAATCATTGTGTAGCCAAAAATGTCCTTGGAACCTCTGACCCTCCTACCTTTTTTTTTTTTTTGCCTAAACTTGGATTACAGGGATGTGCTGGTCATCAAACCTAGTCCTGTGTGAATGTTAAACTAACACACACCCAGTTGAGCTACAATCCTAGCTCCCACACCTGTTTTGATTCAGTCTAGCCTTGAACATGTGAGCCCTTGCCTCAGCTGTCCCTAAAACCCTTCTAAGATGTGTCTTCTGGTTTTGTTGGTGGGTACTTGTAATCCCATTGCTTGGGGGCCAGCCTGAACTATGTAGCAAGTGAGATGAGATGGCTCAGTAGGTAAAGAGAGATGCTTGTTGTACAAGCATGATGACTTCAGTTCAATCTCTGGAACTTACAAAAAGATGTAAGAAGAGAATCACCTCCACAAAGTTGTACTCAAACACACATCACAAGCACTCAAGTAATAATATAAAGTTTAAATAAATACGTTTTTAAGTAAGAAAAAGAAAAGTGAGGGAATGAACAGAAGAAAATATTGATGATTCTATTCATTTGGCCAAGTAGATGGTGCTTAAGGAAAAAAGATGAACATGTATTTGTAGTGATAATCCCAAAGTAAAATGAGGCCAACATGGTAGCATGCCTATAATCCCAGCACTGTGGAGGCAGAGGCAGGAGGATTATGAGTGAGCCTTAACTACTTCATAATAAATTCTGGAATTGGAGGTATGCCTCACCACACCTAATTTATTCAGATTTTAATAGATATGTTGGGACTAGAAAGATGGCTCTGTGGCTAAGAGTGCTTGCTGTTCTTCCAAAGAGCCTAATTTTGACTCCAGCACTCATGTTGGACAGCTCACAGCCACCTTTAACATCAGCTCCAGGGGATCTAATGTTCATCCTCTACTTTTGGCCTCCAAGGAGATCTGTATTCATGAAAACATGCCCATGCACAGATATACATAATTTTAAATGTTTTTAAACTATAAAAAGAACAAATCTAATTTAAATAACAACAATAGTTTAGTGCTTATTGGCTGAAAGTAATTTGTATAACATAAGTATAATAGAAGAATTACTGTTTTGTTAAGAGACAGAGACTGTGGCACAGATGCGGTATGGGAGGCTGGGAGATGGGTCACACCTGTGTTCCTATGGAAACTCAATGTTTGTTTTACATGGATTTTTTTATCACTTTTCAGTCATGACATTAACAAATGCTTCTTAGCAAGCATTTGTAACTTGTACATTTGGCAGAGTGGGCCAAAAGCTAATATTGTGACCCATTTTGAAAATAAACTAGGAGCTGGAGAGATGGCTCGGTGGTTAAGAACAGTAGCTGGTCTTCCAGAGGTCCTTGAGTTCAATTCTTGGTAACCACATGATGGCTCACAACCATCTGTAATGGGATATGGTGCCGTCTTCGGGCCTTCAGGGTTACATGCAGATAAAACACTGTATATATAATAAATCTTAAAAAAAAAAAATAAAAACTATCTTGAAATTAAAAGAGAGAGGGAGAGAAAGAAAGAGAGAGAGAGAGTAGGCTTGGCATTGATGGTACACAACTTTAATCCCAGTGCTTGGGAGACAGAGGCAGGAGGATCTTTGTGAGTTTGAGGCCAGCCTGGTCTACAGAGCTTGTTCCAGGACAACCAGGGCTACACAGAGAAATTGTCTTGAAAAACCAAAAAGAGAGGGACACTACAAATGGGAGGAGAGAAAGAGTGGAGGGGATGGGAGGAGAGGAGGGAAGGGGGACTGGGATTGCAATGTAAAAAATAAGAAAAAAAAAGAGCAATACTAGTAAAAAAAAAATACTGCTATTGTATTGCAGATAAGTATCTTAAAGTTTATTACTAGCTAATACATGCTAATTAACTTGAGTAGTATGCATGTAATTTATATCCCAAATACTTTGTAATATTTAGTAACACATTTAATCCTCCACAATGGTATGTGGGTACCATTGTTATTCTCATTCATTTCCACAACAAGCTGTTAAGACAAGAGACATACCAAGGTCCCACAGGTGGTTGGTTGCATGTTGCAATACCTTCCTTACTATGAACTGAAAGAAGCACTTACTGTAGTCTTCCCTCAGCAAGTGCTGAAGTTGAGTCCTTTGCCTGTGGCATCTGAGTAAAGGGGTTATCATTTGTGTGTGTCCCCTGTGTATATCAAGTGTGTTGTTCATGATTTCTACCTGGACTTCCTCAGTGACTTGCAGCTTTGCTAGGATCTCTTACCAGATTGTAGCGGTTTTTGTTTGGGCGCTCTGCCTTTTCTCTTTCCACTTTAGACTGTAGATAGCAGATTTGGGGGCACAGAGAGTCTCTAAAATCCTTTGTTGGTTGATTTTGCCACCTTATAACAAATATTTGGTGATAATCTCTCCCACAAACCCAAACTCTTGGTTTGCAAGACCTTGACTTCCAAATCGTTTCTAGTTTGTCTTCACTCCATCCATTCCCCTTGGTTTCCAACTGTACTGACCCCCACCTTCTCCATGCTGTTGCCCTTAGTGTGCGCTCTCTTCACCTGGTAAAGATTTGCTCACCCTACACACTTCAGTTCATTCTTTATTTCCACGGTCTTCTCCAACTTAGGTAGCATTATGTACTTCTAAAGCAAGTTTTACATGTCTGATGTATCTATCATGTTGCATTACAGTTGCTTGTTTCGTTTTCGTTACTGGATATTTTGTATTACATTTTGCAGATAGGTGATCAGTAAGTATTTTTAAATTAATATATTGTTAAAACTTGATTTTTAATTCTCAAAACTTTCTCCATAGGTGCTGCTGATGACTACAATAGAATTGGGTCTTCATTATATGCTTTAGGAACTCAGGACTCTACAGATATATGCAAGTAAGGATTATAGTTAAGAACTCAAATACAAGTAAATAAGAGGAAGGGTTGCTGGCAGCAGAGGAAGTAGTGCTTGAATTTACATAGGTATTGTAGGATATTTTTTATCAACCCATTCATGATAAACTGGGCTTTTATTATAATGAAATGATTGTTTCCTTTTTGTTTTCTCATTTTCTGATTATTGTTTTAAAATATTCAACACTTCAGGCTGGGTGTGTTAGTGTGTACCTTGAATCCCAGCACCTAGGAAGCAAAGAAGGCTGGCAGAAGGCAGATATCTGTGATTTTGAGGCTAAAGTTTGAGGCTAACCTGTTCTACATTAATTCTAATCCAGCCATGGCTGCGTAGTGAGATCCTGTTTATAAATAAACATTGAACATTTCACAAATTTGCTATATATTTCATTGGAAGTCAAACTAAACTTTTTTTCAATTCAGGTAGTCTACCACTGAGCTAAATACCCAATACTCCATACCCAAATACTTCTTCACACTTTGTCACAGGGTCAGACAAAACCCACAGTGTTCAAACATGCTTTGTAGCCAAGAATGACCTTGGTCTCTAGATTCTGCTTCTGCTTCCTGAATGTTGGCTTTTGGGATTTATAGGCACACACTTTCATTCCTAGTACTCAGGTGAACATTAAACAAAACACATTTTTTTAAACATGTATTTATTTTGTGTGTGTGTGTATGTGCTGGGGATGTGTTATCATAGCAGATCATGTCCATGATGATCTGCTGAAGCAAGTCTGGTATAAATGACACTTTATCTCCAAAAAAAAAAAAAAATAGGACCTCTTGTCCCAGGACCTGGGAGGTAAGGCAGAACAGTTTTAAGTTTAGGCCAGACCAGCCTGGACCCTGTCTCATAAAACCAGAAGAGAAGGAAGAAAATGAATTTTGGAGCTGTAGAAATATCTTAGTTAGATTCCTAGCATGTACGTGTGTGGCTCATGGCCACCTGAAATTCCAATTCCAGGACCTCTAACACCCTCTTCTGCACATATGGAGTGCTCCCACAGCATGCCTATGTATAAATTTAAAAACCTGTGTATGCAAGCAAAACACATATATAAAAACAAGTAATTTAAAGAATATATATATATACACACATATGCATGTATACCCTGTATGTTCTATATGCCCACATACATTTTCTTTTCATTTGTATGTATGTGTGAGTATCTGTGTGAGTGTATCACACCTGTATGCTAGTGCCCTTGGAGGCCAAATAGTGTGTCAGGTCACCTGTAACAGGAATTACAGGTTACTGTAACCGCCTGACATGGGTGCTGTGGACAGAGCTCTGGTACTCTGGGATAGTAGCAAGGCCCTTAACTACTGAGCCATTGCTCTACCCTCTTTGTTGAGATAGAATCTTACTATGTAACTCTTGCTGGCCTCTTAACTCATAGAGATCTATCTGCCTGCCTCTGCCTCCCAAGTGCTGTGGTTAAGGGTGTGTGCCACCTTGCTCGGCCTGGAATACTTTAAAACTGATAATAGACTTGCCATGCTGTCTTACCTAATATGCATGAGGCCCTGGGCTCAGTTTTCTTAAAAGCCAAAAATAAACAACAAGCAATATTATCAGAGGATTCTAAGAACTGTTCCGTCTTCAGTGTTTTCCTTTAATTCTTTTTTTAAAAAATAACATTTTTTTGGTGGGTGGGTGGGAACAGTGTCTCTGTACCTCTGGCTGCCCTGTAATTGTCTTTATAGACCAGGCTGGCCTGGAACTCAGATATCCACCTGCCTCTGCCTCCTGGGTGTTGGGAATAAAGACCAGGCCTAGCTGTCTATTTGTTTGGGGTGGGGCACACATGTAATAGCCAGAGTGTAGAGATCAGAGAACAACTTGTGGGAATCTGTTCTCTCCTACATCATATAGATGCTGAGGAATCAAATTAGTATTATTCAGTTTATAGTTGTAAGTGCAGGGAGGATTTTATTAAACTGTTGAACTCTTCAGTTAACAAAACCATTGGGTGCTTTATGTGATGAAACAAAAATGTCCTTTGTTAATATGGTTTGGGGTTATTGGCTCTAAACACTTGAAGTGAAAAATTAATGAAATGCTACTTCTGATGAAAGTATTTGTCCCTTGCAGGTTTTTCCTCAAAGTTTCAGAACTGTTTGATAAAACAAGAGTAAGTATTAATTAACCCTGAAAGAACTACTGCAGAGTCATACTTGTGTTAACAGTATTGTGTTGTGCCCCTAAAACACTCGGGTGTCTCCCCGAGTTCTCAGATATCCACACGTGCCTCTGACACAGAAAAAAGTAAAATTAACGTTAAAAATAAAATTAACGTTAAAAAAAAAAAAACTGTCCCAAGTGTCAGCTGTGGTGAGTCACACCAGTAATCCTAGCACTCAGAAAGCTGAAGCAGGAGGACTTTGATTTCAAGACAAGACTGGACCTACATAGCCTGACCTACCCCCACCCCAAAAAAAAAATTTTTTTTTTTATTAGCATTAGTGAGGTGGCTCAGGGATTAAAAGCCTTCGCTGTCATGACCTGAGTTCATCCTTAGAACTCACATGATGGAAGAAGAAAACAGCTTGAAAGCTGACCTCTGACCTTCAGCACTTGCATATGTGTACACTGTTTTGCTCCCACTAGAATGAATGTGAACATTCAGGTTGCTCTGTGAGCATGCTCACACTTGGTGGTTTGTCTGTGTTTTAGCTATTTGGTGAGCGCCTCTTAAGAAAAAGGAACAAACTATTCCAACAGTGATTTCAGGTATTTACTTTTGAGTTGGGGTTAGCTCTAGTTTAAGCTAGCCTTGAACTCTGTAAAGCCGGATCTCCACCTCTCAAGAGCTGGGATTACAGGAGCATCACCCTACCTGACCTAGTTTCAGATTTATAGAAAACAATATAGAGTAGTAGAAAAAGTTATGTACATATCACCAAGGTTCCCTGAAAATGAACATTACTATGTAGTTCATAAAACTTTATTCTGGGTGTTCATCTGTATTGTGTATGCATCTCAGTAATATTGCTTTCTCAATGTCACTAAATACAGATTTTTCCCATTGCTTCCTAAGTAACTAAGTAAGTAAGTGACTGGTATAACAAGTCAGGAGACAGATTAGTTTCTTATTGTATTTAGCTGATGCAAAACATCTCTTTTAATCCCAGCACTCAGGAGGCAGAGTCAGGCAGATTTCTGTGAGTTGGAGACCAGCCTGGTCTACAAGAGCTAGTTCCAGGGCAGGCTCCAAAACCACAGAGAAACCCTGTCTCAAAAAACCAAAAATAAATAAATAAAACATCTCTTAGACCAGATGTGATGGCACACATATTTAATCCTAGTGCTTGGGATTCAGAGGCAGTTGGCTCTCAAGTTCAAGTCCAGCTAGGACTAAAACCAAAGGCCAAACCATACCAAACCAAAACTACCTCAATAAACAAACTAACAAACAAACCAAAACAGGGTAATGTTGTTTTTGAGAAAATGTCTCACTATACAGCCCAGGGTAGCCTAGAACTGAGGCCACCCTACCCCAGCCTTCATGTGCTGGGGTTAAAGGCATGTTCCATCACATCTGGCTCAGATAATTTGGAGGGGGTGTATTTATTTTTAAATTATTATTATTGTATGTATATATTAGTGTGTGTATATGTAGTAAGTGTATGTGGGTACACATGACATATAGAAGTCAAAGGACAACTTTTGCAAGCCGATTCCCTGCTTTCAACTTTACATGGGTTCCAGGGATCTTTTGGCTGACCAGACTGACCTTGAATACAGAGATCTGTCTGCCTTTGCCTCCTGAATGCTAGGATTAAAGGAGTGTGCCACTACCACCTGGCAAAGACTTCTTTTTAGCTTCCCTTTCCATCTCGTACCAAATTCCTTCATCTGTTGATAAGCACCTGTCAATTGCCACTGCTGTAATAGTGAGGCTAAAAAATGGTAGGAAATCCAAGTTTCCAAATGTAGAATAATTTCGTAAGTTCATTCATCATGTTACTTGAATTTCTGTTTTGAAAGGCACCCAGATAAAGCAGAGTGGAAACACATTATGTGCAGCAACACATGAGAAATGTTTTTGTGTAGAGCCAAGTGTAACAGGTGACTTAATGCTGTTTCCCTTTTCAGAAAATAGAAGCCCGGGTGTCTGCTGACGAGGACCTCAAGCTTTCCGACCTGCTCAAGTACTACTTAAGGGAGTCACAAGCAGCTAAGGTAACTGTTCATTTAGGTTGTGAAGAGTTGATGATGCGTATATTGGTCTGTATTCTCAAGCTGAGTGCCATGCTATGTGATGGCTGGGATCCCAGTGTTTGGTGGAGTGTGCAGGAGAAATGAGGTGAGGCTAGCTTGGGCTCTGTAGTGAGACCAGGTCTTAAAAACAAATGTTATATGAAATTACCTTTCTCAGACCAGGCATGGTGTCACACATCTTTCTTTAATCTCAGCACTAAGGAGGCAGGTGGGTATCTGTGAGTTCAAGGCCAGCCTGGTCTACAAAGTGAGTTCCAGGACAGCCAGGACTACGCAGAGTAAACCCTGTCAAAAAAAAAAAAAAAAAAAAAAAAACCCAAAAAAGTAAAATGCCCAAATAAGATTTGTATACTTACTGGTTTCTAATTTGGTATGAATAAGTCCTTGGCTGAGGTAAGAATACTATTAAACCCGAGTATCTGTATGTATTTTAAGTCGACTCACATTTCCTGCTGTGTGTAAAAGACTCAGTAATCAAACAACAAAGACTCAAAAACAAAATAAGACATATTTTAAAAAGCACCAAATCAGTGGTGGTTTGTAAGCTTACATAACATGTGCAGGACAGTGGTTTGTAGGACTTTTGCTGGGATTAAAGATGTGCACCACAGCTGGGGGTACGGAGGGCACACACCTTTACTCCCAGCTGCATTTAGAAGTTCCCCGTTAAGTGTCACTGCTGCTGATGGTGGTGGTTGCATCTAATTGCAGGAAGGGCACATCATACACTGCAAATGTTGTATTTTGCAGGACCTCCTCTATAGAAGGTCAAGGTCACTAGTGGACTATGAAAATGCCAATAAAGCACTGGACAAGGCAAGAGCAAAAAACAAAGATGTTCTACAGGCTGAAACCTCCCAACAGTTGTGCTGTCAGAAGTTTGAGAAAATATCTGAATCTGCAAAACAAGGTACTATTAACACACCTTTCATGCAAGGTGTGCTTTGCAGTGATGTCATTCTAACCTTTTTGTTTTTGTTTACAGAACTGATAGATTTTAAGACGAGAAGAGTGGCTGCATTCAGAAAAAATTTAGTGGAACTTGCAGAACTAGAACTAAAGCATGCAAAGGTAGTGTCATTATTACATTGAATCATTTAAATTCAAATCGAGTCAGTTATAGAATAGATGCTGATCCTTTGATCATCCTCCTACAGGAGGATTGACACAACTGTCCTTGGTTTATTTGGATGTTTTCTTTTATACCGTGTGTGTGTGTGTGTGTACACCTGTGGAGGTCAGAGGACACCTTTGGAGTTTCTAGATTGAACTCAGGGTTCAGGTTTAAGCAATGAGTGCTTTTCCTTGATGGGCCATTCTACTGGCCCTTACTTGGGGTTTTGTTCTTTTCAGTATTGGAATTATGTGTGGGGCTCTGTGCATGCTGGCCAGCACTCACTGAGCTGCATTCCCATCCTGACAAAATGGGAATTACGTTAGTTTTTTGCTGTTTTTGAAGCACCTCTCACTCTTCAGTTCATTATGTAGACCAGGCTGGCCTTGAACTCCGTGATCTTCCTGCCTCAGCCTCTACTTGGGAGATTGTTAACCTCCATACATGTCAAGACATACACACATGTATGCATACACACACAAAATAATGCATATACATATATACATATACATACATACATATTTTGTCTGGTGTTTGCCACTTGTGGTAGTGCATACCTGTAGGACACACTGAAGAGGCAGAGGTCCCAAGTTTAAGGCCAGCCTAGGCTGTACCTTTGAAACTAAAGAAATGACACAACAGATAAAATCACTTGCTGTCTTCAGAGGACTCCAATTTGGTTCCCAGTACCCACAACAAGGAGCTCATAGCCATCCTAGCTTTGCAACCAGGACATACAACATCCTTTTTTAGCCTAAATAAGCACTTGGATGTATGTGGTGTATACACACACACACACACACACACACACACACACCCATACCCAAATAAAAACATCCTTGTTTATTTGTTTGTTTTGGGTTTTTGTTGTTGGTTTTGTTTTTTGAAACAGGGTTTCTCTGTGTAGCCCTTGATATCCTGGAACTTACTCTGTAGTCCAGGCTTTAACATCTCTTTTTAAAAAACAAGAATATCAGATGTGGTAGCACATGCCTTTAACCCAAGCAGAGGCATGTCGCATGAATTTTAATTGGTATTAATAATAAAAAAAAAAAGAGTTGGATATTGGGATTAATGCTGAAGATCAGAAGAGCAAAGTGGCCAGCCACTATAGAGTTCTCACCTCTACCAATGCTCAGACCAAGGGGGCTACCCTGCCCTCAGACTGCATTCTCATACTGCCTAGACTGCCCTAAGCTCCTGTCTCCTCCTGCCTTAAATACCTCTTTCCACCCAGCCATATACCTTCCTGTATCCACCTTCTTAGTGCTGGGATTAAAGATGTGTCAGAAGTGGTGGGATCATCTTTGTGTGATTTCTGTTTCTCTTTTAGACAGATTCAGTTTTGTGTAGCTCAGGGTAACCTTGAATTCACAGAGATATGTCTGTCTCACAAGTGCTGGGATTAATGGTGCATACCACCACTGCCTGGCCTTTATGACAAACTACTGTGGTTGCTGGGATTAAAGATGTGTGCCATCACTGCCTAGCCTCTATGGCTAACTAGTGTGGCTAACTTTGCTCTTCAGACAAGCTTTGTTATATCTTAACACTCTTATATATCTTATATATCTTAACACTTGGTCTCACTCTGTAGACATGCTGGCCCGAATTTACCAAATAACTCAGGCTCCAAACTGCTAATGGTGCTCTTGTTTATTTGCTGGAATGAAACCAGCATACCACCACACTCCCTATATTATTTCCTTTGTTAAGGTCTGGCTTCCATTTAATTATGTAGTCAAAAATGGCCTTAAATTCCCAATTTGCCAGCCTCAACTTCCCAAGTGATGGGATTATAGGTGTGATTGGCCGCAACTAACTGACAGAGTGTTCTCTCTCTGTGTGTCTGTCTCTGTCTCTCCCTCTCCCTCTTTTAGAGACACCATCTCTATCATGTAGCATTGGCAGTCCAGCAACCCCAGCACTCCTAGCGCACATCTGCAATCCAGCACTCCTAGTGCACATCTGTAACCCAGCACTCCTAGCGCACATCTGTAACCCAGCACTCCTAGTGCACATCTGTAACCCAGCACTTCTGCTGCACATCTGTAACCCAGCACTCCTGCTGCACATCTGTAACCCAGCACTCCTGCTGCATGTACATCTGTAACCCAGCACTCCTAGTGCACATCTGTAACCCAGCACTTCTGCTGCACATCTGTAACCCAGCACTCCTGCGCATGCACATCTGTAACCCAGCACTCCTGCGCATGCACATCTGTAACCCAGCACTCCTGCTGCATGCACATCTGTAACCCAGCACTCCTAGTGCACATCTGTAACCCAGCACTCCTAGTGCACATCTGTAACCCAGCACTCCTAGTGCACATCTGTAACCCAGCACTCCTAGCGCACATCTGTAACCCAGCACTCCTAGCGCACATCTGTAACCCAGCACTCCTAGCGCACATCTGTAACCCAGCACTCCTAGCGCACATCTGTAACCCAGCACTCCTAGTGCACATCTGTAACCCAGCACTCCTAGCGCACATCTGTAACCCAGCACTCCTGCTGCACATCTGTAACCCAGCACTCCTGCTGCATGTACATCTGTAACCCAGCACTCCTAGTGCACATCTGTAACCCAGCACTCCTAGTGCACATCTGTAACCCAGCACTCCTAGTGCGCATCTGTAACCCAGCACTCCTAGTGCACATCTGTAACCCAGCACTCCTAGCGCACATCTGTAACCCAGCACTCCTAGTGCGCATCTGTAACCCAGCACTCCTAGTGCGCATCTGTAACCCAGCACTCCTAGCGCACATCTGTAACCCAGCACTCCTAGTGCACATCTGTAACCCAGCACTCCTGCTGCACATCTGTAACCCAGCACTCCTAGTGCACATCTGTAACCCAGCACTCCTAGTGCACATCTGTAACCCAGCACTCCTAGTGCACATCTGTAACCCAGCACTCCTAGGACACGATGAGAGGCAGACACAGAACTGCGCAGAAGGTTGTGGGTCATCTAGACTGGTGTGCAGCACAACAGCAGGGAGAAGGGACAAAGTGAGGACTGGCCCCTACAAGTTGTCCTTTGGCTTCCACATGAGGAGAGCGCCTTGGCAAGAATGTGCTTACACTCCCTTTTCTCCTCCTGCCTTCCCCTTCTCCCTCTTTCTCATATACAGAGTAAATCATTTTTAAGTAAAAAATATCGGAGAGACAAGTCTCCTGCACATGTGTGTATTCCTACACATATACACACAATATGTAACAAAAATACTTTCAAAATTTAAACATGGAACAGATGTCCATGGAGCTGGGTGTGGTGGCCCAAGCCTTTATTTACTTCCAGCACTCCAGAAGCAAAAGCAGGTGCATCTTTGTAAGTCAGAGATTAACCTGGTCTACAAAGCTAGTTCCAGGACATCCAGGGAAATACAAAGAAACCCTGTCTTGGAAAAGAAAAGGGAAAAAAAAAAAAAAAAAAAAAAAGCACAAGACACTTGGGTTGAGTTCCCAGTGCCCATAGGAGGATCACAATTCTCTAACTCCAGTTCTGGGAGATCCCATGCCCTTTCTGTCATCCTCAAGCACCAGGTACACACGTGATGTACAGATGATATAGCGGCAGGAAAAGAACTCATACACATAACATTTTAAAAAGTCTTTGTGTGTCTGTGTAAAACCTAATCGTATTTATATACATTTCTAAAATGGATTTGATTTCTTGGGGGGGTGTCTTTCTTTTTTCTTATTTACTTATTTACTGGTTTCTCTGTGTAACAGTACTAGCTGTCCAAGAACTCACTTTATTAAGCTGGCCTGGAACTCACAGATCTGCCTGCCTCTGCCGCCAAGTGCTGGGATTAAAGGATTGCAATAACACTGCCAGGATAGGGGGGGAGATCTCTCACTTGGTAATATATTGCTATGAAGAGACACCATTATTACTGCACACTTGTAAAGGAAAACATTTAATTGGGGCTATATGTAGAGGTTTATTTGGTCCATTATCATCATGGTGGGAAGCATGGTGGCATGCAGGCAGACATGATGCCGGAGAGGTAGCTCAGAGTTCTACATCAAGATCTGCAGGCAGTAGAGAGAGACATTCAGCCTGGCTTGGGCTTTGGAGTTTCAAAGCCCACCCACAATGACACACTTTCTCCAACAAGACCACATCTCTTAATGCCACTCGCTGCTCATCCAAATAGGAGTCTATGGAAGCCATTCATCAAACCACCACAGCTGGGTGTGGGGGGAGTTAAGACAGGGTCTCCATGTAGTCCTGGCTGTCCTGGAACTCACATAGATCCACCTGTGTCTGCCTCCAAAATGCCATGCCTGTAGTCAAATCTCAAGTTTTGAAGCAAGTTCAAATGTTCTACAAATAGCCAACTGCATGTGAATGCTGGAGAATAGTGTGTGATGTTTGCACTTTTATTTTAAAAACACTAGCTTAATGCCCGGTCACACAATCAGAAACCAAATTCGCCAGTTAACACCGGACACAGAAGTTATTTTACCCCTGTTGAACCTTGTCAAGGCTGTGGAGAGATGATGGTTGGATGTTGAGAGCACTGGCTTGCGAGGACCCATGTTCTTCATTCCTAGCACCCACTCCGTCTATTTCCTGTCCTGGGGAAACCGATGCCCTCTTCAAACACACAGACAAATCACCCATCCGCATAAAGAAAAAAAAAATTTTTTTTAAGTCAGAATATCTAAACCATTAATACTAGTCTGTGTAGAAATTTATTTGGTGAATGAGCTGCTTCTAGAATTCTGACACCAGAATATGATGTCTTTCTTTCATCCTTTCTTGGTTACTTGGTGAAGCCTCTGATGGAGGCAGGCATACACATGCTCTCCAGACACACTGCAGCAGAACACCCAGCACATCACGTAACAATGAAATTATTTGCAAACAAAGACTCTTTGGAGCTCTTGGGACTAAAGAGGTTGATGGTTGATTTTGTTTCCTCCCTCTAGGGCAACCTCCAGCTGTTGCAGAACTGCCTGGCAGTTTTAAATGGAGACACATAGGCCTTGCTCCGCCTTCTGTTGAAAAGGGCTGCCTTCAAATCGTTTGTTTTCTTGATGACATCCAGCATCTAAGCTCACTGGGAACAACAGAAACAGCTGGCACGATGCACCGGCTCTTCTTCTGAGAGACAATGGAGCGGCCAGGCTCACTGCCCACAGGGCAGCGGTCTGCCACCCCACACTTGACCTTCCAAGAAGCCCAAAGTTTAATTGTCTTTTCTTTTAGTAGCCTGTCTGAGTTTATTTTGTATGTAGCAATCTTATGGCTTATTTAACCTATGAGTCACTCGTCCAGTTTTAATATTCTCAGAGTCCGTTATTCACACATGATAATGGTTGCCTTTCTGGATTTTTTTTTTTTTAAGCATCCTGTGCCCTGCATTCTTTCATGTATCAGTGTAAAACATCTTAATGAGACTTACTTTGACTTAATGAGCGTAGAGTTTTGGGTCAGTTTCTGTGAGCTTTATATGTGATCTCTGAAGAAAAGCAGATGCGTTACATGTTTGCCTTAAACTCGTGGACTAAACCAATGTTGTAAAACGCCCAGCGATACCAGCGGCGTTTTCACTCCATGTTCCTTGTATCGCTCTGGAATTTGGGGTAGCGATAATAAATCTACTCCAGTATTATGCTTTACAGTGCAGGGGTTTTTTTTGTTTTGTTTTGTTTTGGTGTTTTTTTATTGTCCCCTCCCCTAATTTCTTTTGAAATGGCCAAGTTCACCAAATGCTTTACCATAGAGCAACCTGATCTGGGTGCACCACACAGAAGGTGTAGCTGGGCAGAGGCAGACAATTGCCATTTCCTAAATGCAGGAACATCATACTTCCTGGACCTCGTCCCTAGCTAGCCAGTTGGGCACGAGCCATCTGTCAACCGAGCCCCGGCAGCTGCAGGGCAGCTTACTGACTAGCATAGAGCAAAGCCTTCTGCTGGAAGGAGGAGCTCTTGAGTGTGGGGAGGGAAGAAGTGGACTCACCAGACAAAGGTTGGTGTGTAGATGGGATGCCGAGTTCAGGTGGTCTCGTGTCAGACACTCCCCGGCTCTCTAATGGGAGCTGACATGATCCTTATTCCCAGAGTAAAGTTAACTGAATGGACTTCCTCTGTCTTTTATCCAAGTCCTCTTCTATTTGGAAACCACACAGATTTGGGCTGGTCACCCCTGGAACGAGAGTTTACAGTTTTCCAAACCGTCTGAAGGTCCTGGAGTCCGCCTCGCAGGCGGTCGTCGTGACCCCAACCCAGCCTTTCTCGGTGCATGTGTTCTGCTGGTCAGTGTCCTCTTTGACTGACACGTTTCCCCCGAGCTGTTCACAGTCTGTTTCCTGTTGTGGGCCGAGAGGTCCTTTCCGTCCTGTCCTTTGTATATGTGATCTTCGTTGATAGAAGTGCACCCACAGGGTGTCCACCAGTAGGTGAGTGCAGGACCCAGAGCCCTTGCTTCTGGACTCAGTCCGGCCCTCACCGGCTGCCCTTGTGACCTCAGTCGGGTTCAGGCAAGATTCCCTTGACTTCTGCCTCAGTTCTCTGCTATAAAGGACACGCTGACCTACCTCACAGGGGTGTTGTGAGGATTAATAAATGTGGGTACTATGCTTTGGAAACGAAGGTTCTGTGTAAATGCCGAGGTAGACAGCCAAATTGTACGATGGTTGTCTTCCTAGTGAGTTACTGTGTTGTTACCAAAATTATCTCTTTGGAGGGGAAGGAAGTGAAGTGATTTTATTTACTGTCTAAGGGTGCTTTTTACTGACCACTGTCTGTGTTCCACGTGCCTTTGGTGCCGGAGGAGAGGTGGGGGAGAAGAGGGCATCAAATCCTTCAGAACTGGAGCCTCGATATGGGTGCTGGGAAACATCTCTCCAACACAAACTTTATAGATATATCTTGTTTTTTTTTGAGACAGGGATCCTCTGTGTGGCCTTGCCTATCCTGGCCCTTGCTTGGTATATCAGGCTGGCCTTGAATTCAAAAATATACCACCCAAGTGCTGGTTATTAAAGGTGTGAGCCACCACGGACAGGTCCTGAGGTTTGGTTGGTTGGTTGGTTGGTTTGCACTGAGACAGGGTTTCTATGTGTAGCTTTGGCTGTCCCAGAACTAGCTCTGTAGGCCTGGCTGGCCTCTGTCTCCCAAATGCTAGAATTAAAGGTATAAGCCACTACTCCCCCCTACCCCACTCCCCGGCCAAATTTATATTTTTAAGTGTGTGTATGTAGTGGGTGAGGGCAGGGACTGTGCTGATGGTCAGAGGAGTTCTGTGAGTCTTCCATCAAGTGCACTGTGGAGATCAAACTCAGGCTGCCAGCTATAAGAGCAAGTGTGTTTACCCCCTCAGCCGACTTGGCGGCCCAGGATTCATTGTTAAAGTGCCTCTTGTGGGGTAGGGGGCCTTGGGTGGGGGTGGACAGTGCGCCTGCCAGGCTTTCTCACCAACACCTTAAGAAACAACAGATGCAGGTGTCTGGAGAGATGGCTCAGCTGTTGTTCAGAATACTGGCTGCTCTTCCAGAGGTCCTGGGTTCAATTCCCAGCAACCACATTCTTGGTGGCTCAGAGCCATCCCATCCGTAGTGGGATCTGATGTTTCTGGCCTGCAAGGCACACATGCAGATAGAGCACTCAACATAAAATGAATAAATCTTGGGGGTGGAGGTGGAAGCAGGTAGCTGGGCATTGTGTGTGGCATGTGCCTGTAATCTCAGGGTGTGGGGCTTAGGAGTGGGAGGCAGGGGAGGACCGCTGCTGTGAGGTTAAGGTCAGCCAAGACCACCAGGGGTGGTGGTGTACACCTTCAACGCCAGCTGCAACAGGACCCGTCTCGGAATTTGAGGCCAGCCTACTCCACACAGCAACTTCCTCCCGGCCAACCAAGGGCTACACAGATGCTGCCACCCTGGCCCCCGCCCCCGAACTCCTCCCCCCGAACGGTATGGGGTCAGCAAAGTGGCTCACCACCGCCAAGTCAGACAACCCGAGTTTGATCCCATGGGGGGTGGAAGGAGACCACTTGACCTGGACACGCTCGCTCGCTGTAGCACCCACACATACCCCCGGATTCGCTTTAACGAATGAAACCCAAAGGAAAAACACGCGGGGCACACTTAGGAGAACCGCTTTGTGCCTGTGAAACACAGCCGCTCTGGGGGGAGTACACTGACCGTGTACCTATCACCCTGGAAGTCTAGGGAGGTGACACTAGGGGTTGCCACAGGCACGAGGAGTTCCCAGCCCAGAAGCCGACTTGGCCTACCTGGAAAAGACCAGCAGTCAATGCGGTGTTTGGCAGCAGTTGTGAAGAAGGGCCGAGCTGGAACCCAAAGAAGCCGATTGACTCCAGGACGTCTGTGGCCTGTGAGGCTGGAAGGCTGAGTGAAGTGAATGGATGGAGCACAGTGTAGGGAAGGGGTGGAGAGATGGAGAGAACCTCGGGTACTTGGGCTTTAAAACCCTGCTCCGGTCGGCCAGGTGGCAGACTCATCTACCGAGAGCGGGAGTGAGAGGCTGGAGAGACGGTACATCTACCAAGAGCCTGTCCTGCTGTTGCACAAGACCAGAGTGGAGTTCTCAGCACTCCACTTGGGCAGTTCACGACCGCCTGTGACTCCAGTCGCAGGCACCCGTCTGTCGGACTCTGTGAGTGCCTGCACACAACACACACGCGCGTGCACCGACGTTGTTATGTAACATTTTCCCAGGAGATTGAAACTTCTTAAAGCGGGGAGGTACACAACTCGACACAGCTTCAGGAAGTTCCTGAAACGGATCAGACCCCACTAGGAGCTGGCCGCCCGTGGGAGCAGAGCCCAGCCTGAAGAAGCAGACACCAGCAGAGCTCCCTGGACAAGGTGTGTACCAACCCAGACACTGGAGGGGGCGGACACTCTGCAACCTGCTCCAGCTGCCCGCAGACGGTGCTCTAGGCTCGCAGCTTTTGTGCATTTCCCGGAGCTGGGGAGGGCTCCGGAGATGCAGCTGTGTTTGAGTCGTCTGTGCTCCTGTAGGTGACCCCTCACCCACCTCCAAGAAGACTCGTTGGTTCACCAGGTCGGACACGGACGGGGCCCCCACTTTCGTCTGCTGTGTGCTCCCCCGCTGCAGTCAGTGGACGTGTGTGTTGCATGTCCTTGGAGAAAGTCTTATCACAACACAACACATAACTTAAAAAAAAGGGGGGGGGGCTTTTGAACGGAAGTGAGACGAGACCCTCCTTGAACCAACCATTCCGTTGTGTGATGGAGCATGCCCTCCCGCGTTCATTGTTTTTCCCCCTCTGAAAGAGCAAGCAAAACTTAAAGAGGCGGTGAAGAGGTCTCTGTTGGGATTCATCCTTGACTGAGGGTAACTAGAACTGAGCGCCTCAGCCAGGAAGGCCTTTTCTCCTCTCACCCAGAAAGTGAGAGGAGTCTTTAGAGAGAGGGAGCTGTGTTCTCTGCACTGTGTCCTCGGGGTGTCCGAGCCGGCTGCCCTAGCTGCAGGCCTCAGCCTGAGTTCCAAGTAGAAGAGTGGAGTGGGGAGGAGGAGGAGGAGGAGGACTTGGAGCAGGGAGGGGCTTTGATTTTTATTTCCTGGCAGAGGCAGTTTTAGCTGGGGAAAATAGGTGCGACTCCGCAGACCCCACAAGATGACTCAGAAGCTGAGAGAGAGCCAGTCTAGCCTGGGACGGAATACTGAAGGGAACGAAGGGAGTAAGAATGGAAAAGGAAGGGAAACCGGGAGGGAAGGAAGGAAACCACTGTCTGGCGCGAGTTAGAGGGGGTGAGAGGGCGAGCAGGACGACGTGAGAGGGGGGAAAGGAGAAATCGACTCCCGCCAGTCGCCCTGTCCTCCATCCCCCTTCGCAGCCCCCATAAATGTTAGAATCAGGTCCGGCCAGTTCTCTCGCATCTGCTTTGCAAGTGTTAGGATTACAGGCGCGAGCCACCCTAGTCAGTACAGTAATGGTTTCCGCTTGAGAGCGTGTAGCGAGTTTATATGCGAAAGGAGAGTGGTTGGCTGGGCAGAGGGTGCAGCTCGACCGGTGAGATAGGCTTGCTAGCCTGGCACGCACAAAGCCCCGAGTGTGTGATCCCCAGGTGGACGACGGCACGGAGCCAGGAGCGGAGGTTGAGGGTCACCCTAGGCTCCGCAGCGCGGCTGGGGACCGGTCGCCAGCGGGAGGCGCCGGGGCGGGGCGGGGCGTATGCAGATGAGGCGGCGCGCGATGGCTGCCGGTCCCGCGGGTCTCGGAGGACCGCGTCGCGCGTGGTGAATACGCCGTGCTTGGAGCGTGCTGCGGGTGAGGGGCGGGGAGCGCGCCCGCGGTGCCGAGGTGTGTCGCGGCGAGGCGGTGTCGCGGGTGCGGCGACCGTGCGTTGTAAGGGCGGTGCGTGTGAGGGAGAGCGTGCGCGGGTGGGCCGCAACTCATACTTACCTGGCAGGGGAGATACCATGATCACGGAGGTGGTTTTCCCAGGGCGAGGCTTATCCATTGCACTCCGGATGTGCTGACCCCTGCGATTTCCCCCAAATGCGGGAAACTCGACTGCATAATTTGTGGTAGTGGGGGACTGCGTTCGCGCTCTCCCCTGGTATTTCTGTGCACAAATGGAAGAATGGTAGGCGGTAATGAGTCTGAGTGGCGTCGACCCATG